CCATTACCTGTTCTTCTATCTCACTTTCTCTTACTAACCCTTCCCCCGTTCTTCAGCTTTAGCCCTTTAAACTGTAGGATTTATTTCAAGGAAAGTTGAAGTGAAGCCATCGTCAAGGAGGCAGAGATAACCTTTGGTAAAGAGAAACTGAAAGAGACAAACGGTTCCAACGGTGTGTTGGGGGGTGGGTGGGTGCAGGTTCGGGTGTACAGTTGGAAAAGTGAGGGTTTATGGGTGGAAAGGGGGTGGTTTAGCGAGGAATGAACGAACCAAGGGCAAGAGGTACTTGTCTCGAAGAAAGTCGTGTTGAGGAGGGGGTTGAGTTTTTTTTCTTCTTTTTTTTTTTTTTTTTTTTTTTTTTGAGAGAAAAACGATGATGACTAATGTACGTACGTGCGAGAGCAATTTACATGCCACTTTGCAAAAAGATATCCTCTTCTTCTCCTGTTCGTTTTTTTTCTTGCTTTTTTTTTCTTTTTTTTTTTTTCTTTTCAACCCTCTTTTCTATATATATATATATATATAGCTTTTACGCTTACGCGACTCAACGTCGACGTATCTAACATTTGCCTCCTGTAAATCCTCCCCCTGGTTCGTGGAACGAGCACTCGTCTGTCGGATCCCGACGTTTCATCAAATTGCCTGTCTTTTCTTTTTTTTTTTTTTCTTTTTTTCCTTTTTCTTTTTTATCCTGCGAGAATAAGCCGAAGGAAATTCTTTTAAGGAACTCGCGGGAAAATATATTGGATGTAATTTTATTTCTTTTTATTTATTTATTTATTTTTTTTTTTTTTTTTAATNTTTTTTTTTTTTTTTTTAATGAAGTAGTCTAACTCTAATGCATTTTTTTACCCCCCTCCCCCCCTTGTTAGAATTATTGAAGAATTATTATTCATATTATGAAATGGATATTAATTATATTATAATATTTGTTATAATATTAAAAACGATGTTTTTATGTAATTAAATGTAATGATAATTTTTAGTATAACAAATATTCCTAGTCTAATTTTGATTATAGATAGAGTTATGGTATGGTTGTAGATATATTTATATTATTTTTTATATTATACGTGATATTATTTAAACTAATTTTAAAATTATTTTGTAATTCATTTCAATTTCAAATTTCTGTGACTCAATTTAAAATCATGTCAGAGGGTTGCATTACGTTAAACCTTGTTCTATATATACATAGTGTTATTAATATATATATATATATATATATATATACGTAAAATATTAAATATTTTCTATCTATTTAATTAAATAAAAAATAATAAACAAAAAAATCCTATATATCGTTATTTAATGAAATATAAATAATTAAACAAATCACTTATTATTACTAAACTAATATCACTAATTGTTCAAGCCAATACACATTTCTACTACAAATTGAATTATTTCTAATAAATGCAAATCTACAAAAATGATATTTTCAATAATAATAATAAATATATGAATATTTTAATTTGAAAGATATCTATCTCATCAGTGTTAGAACCCCTTTTGTACGTGGTAGTAATCGTTAGATTGGCTTCTCTTGTGTTCTCATTCAACGATAAACACGTTTCGTCGTCTATTAGTCGTACTCGAATTACGGTCAAACAGATATCACCAATGCCTAGGGTTGTGCTCATAGTAGTTTCGCGATCAAAGGACGCGTCGATTCGAGCTTTACCATGAGTGCAATCTTCACGTACGACTGGAGCTTAAAATTCACCCCTACTCTAAAATCATCCCCACAGTTCGCGCACAAACTCTCGTCTCTCTTCTCCAGCTTTGAAATCGAACGTCGAACGATAGATAAATATAACGTGGTGGTTTCTGTAATTAATCGAAAGTGATATCGACCAAATAATTTTCTTCATCGATAGGGGATTGAAGGCGGAAACAAAAGAGGAAGGAAGGAAGGATATTTCATCAATCCACTTAATAATAATACAAATAAAAAGTATAGAAATATATAAATAATAATTTATTAAAGTAATTCATATCATTTTATTATTAATTATTATTATTTATTATTTTGTTATTATTATAAATTTTTTAGCCTACGATTTACTTTTAGATTTCAATTCATACCAAAACCTAATAATAATAATAATAATTATATAACAATAATTTATTTTATATATAAAATATTTAAATATTAATTTTCTATATCTAGGGATGGGGGGAAGGGGGTGTATCTTTGATTAACCTAATAATAATAAAAAAAAAAAAAAAATAAAATATATATTAATATATAGATAATAATTTATTAAAGTACTTAATTTAGTTTGTTATATCATTTTTAACCCGACGATTTACTTTTTTTTTCAAATCATATTAAAAACCTACAAAAGCTAATAATTTTTTCTATATGAAATATTAAAAAAAAAAAAAAAATAAATTTAATCGTATGCACTTTGTTTTTTTTTTTTAAATTACCGTATTATTTCTAAGAAAACGCATCGATTATAAAATAATATTTTTTTTTTTCGAAATGGGACTAAGAAATAAAAGGAGGGAGTGAGTTTCTTACGCTCGATGTCACCCCCTAACATTTTTCATTAGACACGCGTAGAGTAAATGATCGATACCAAAAGGGAATAAGAGGGTAAAAGAGGAGGGAGAAGGATGAGGGGGAGGATTGGAACGTCCGCGACGTCTCGGCGCCGTTTGAATCTTACCTTCTTCCCCTATTTCCTTATACTACTCTCCCTTTAACATTCTGCTCTATCCTTCATCCACGGCGCCTTTCGAATTTACTTCTTTTCCGACGCAAACCCACAGCCTCCCCTCTCTACCTCTATCCCAAGCCTTTAAGGATTTTCGATCTAAGTATCCTATCTCGGATTTGCAAGTTTCTTAGATAATACACACATCGAATTTAACTTCACGAATCTTATTTTATTTATTTTTCTTGTTTGTTTTGTTTTGTTTATTCAACCAATACTTTGTACTTTTTTTTTTTAATACAATAAATACTGAAAAAGATCTATTTATTAATCATATTTCAAAGAAATTACAAAAGTTTTAATCTTCATTAGGACAAAATAGCAGTGTGGGGGGTGGGGGAAGATTTATTTATATTCGAAACTAGAGTTTGATTGTAAGATTTCATTTGAAATGCGAAAGGAGCTACGTTTGTAAGGAAACTTTGAAGGATATTAGTATTAGTATTAGTAGTAGTAGTATTAGTAATAGTAGTAGTCGAGACGCATTGATATCCTTTTCCTCCTTTCTCTCACTTTCTCTCTTGGTGTTCTTTTCTCACCCTCTCGCTCAAGGCTACAGACGAATCTTTATTGAAAGTGAACCCCGTGCAATGTCTGCCTTTGCATTATATGAATATATATATATATATATATATATATATATATATATATATATATATAGGTATCTCCTTTCGACTTAACGCGCCCACGATTTTATTCCCAGCCCCCCCCTCTATTTACTATACCATCATCCCCCATATTCTTCATCTATCCATCTTCTATCTTACCCTATCCCGTAAAAGACGTTTCATCCCTTAAATACGAGATGAATTTTAAAGTCAACGTGACAAATAATAATAATAATAATAATAATAATAATAATTAAATTTTGAAAATGTATCTTTTAATTTATACGTCATTATAATTATCAATTATTAATTATAATAAGATGTATAAATAAATTTTGATGTTTTAATCTTAAATTTTATTAATTAGGTCAATTATTCACGTTGTATGCATGTGCAATGTTGGAAAAGTCATATAAACAACATTCGTCTTCAACTTGATTACTTTCCTAGGTATTTTTTTGTTTTGTTTAATTTGCTTTTCCCAGTCCGATTATTTATAAAATAGTAATAAATAAGAAAAAAAAACCATCCCGAAAGTTTAATGCCGAAGTAGAGCGAGAGAGAGAGAGAGGGAGAGTATACTTTATTAGTCTGCTTGGTGGGAATGCTTGTTTTTGTCATGATACTTTATATCATAGATTTGGTAAACGGAGGAAAGAGGAAGGGCTCCGTTGGAAAAGGGCTGGGATAGACGTCAGAAACAGAACCACCCCCGTACACATCATTTTCCTCCGTTCTTCTTCTCTTAAGGAGAAACCATTGCCCTTTTCAAATGCCATTGTCGTTTATGGTTGCTCTTGAGGAAATCCAGAATTAGATTCGGATTTGTCAAGTGGTTTTTTTTTTTATTTTTTTTTCTTATTATTTATTGTATTATACTTACATAATAATCTACGATTTTATATTTGTTGTTCGATTGTTTTGATATTCATTTGTCATAATTATTTAATGGGAGTTATGTTTATTTATAAAATATAATAGATTTAATTATTTATTAAATTATATATAATTGAAAATAATATATATTTAAATTTTACAAATTATATAATTAAATATGAATAATATTTAAATAATATAAATTATAATATAATTGTATAATAAGATACTGTAATTTATTAATTTTAATATAAATTAATTATATGACATAAATTATATAATTATATAATAAAACAAATATCATAATTAAATAAAATATATTAAAATTTTATAAATTATATAATTAAATATAAATAATATTTAAATAATATAAATTACTATAATTTATAATATAAATTACTATAATTTATAATATAAATTAATTACATAATAAAATAAATTATNTTTAATTATAATTTCTAAATCCGTGAAATTAATTATAATTATTAAAAGTGATACAATTATTTTTATCGTTGTGATAAATGTTTAAAGTAAGATAACAAAACCGAAAAAATAAATAAACATTATATTCATATAGAAGTTTTCGTTGGTCACATATATGCGCTCATATTATTCAAAGGCTTAAAATTTATAGCAAAAAAAAAAAAAAAGGGGGAAAAAATCCAACAACCACAAGAAAAAAAAAACAGATAAAAAAGAAAAAGAAGATTGTACGAGTAAAATATCACGTTATAGGATAGAAACACTTGAAAAAAAAAAAAAAAACAAACAAATAGAATAATATTCTTACCTTGTTAATTTGTCGTTGAAGTTTGGTAATCGTAGCACGATCTCGTTGTGAGACGAGACGTTCCGCTTGCAGTGCTCGTTCCAATTCGTGAACTCGTTCCTCGAGGCTCTCCTGAAACATTAAACGTCGGTTTCGTGAACACGATAGCATAACTTTTGTGTCTGCTTTTGCTTTTGCTTTTGCTTCTGCTTTTGCTGTTGTTGTTGCTGTCTTTTCTCTTCACGTCGAAGAGGAGAAGCACTTAAAGAGTTAACGTTACCGTTACGATCAACCCCCCATCCCTTTACCCCCCCCCCATCACCCTCTAACTTTAACGGCCAGCCCAATTCAACCTTTCGCATAGGTATTTACTCGTAATGGAAGTGAGATAAAACTTCATTAAAAAGCGTTTCCTGGATGAGCACATCGTCCTTGAATGTAAAAGTTTCTTTCTATCGCTTTTTTTCTTTTTTTTTTTCTTTGACTCTCTCAGTTTTATCTTTTGAAGTGTAACTTCTTTAGCAAGGGCTAAATTAACGTACGAGATTTAACAGAAGTGGTGTGTGTGTTAATGTAAGTGTAATTTAAGTGATAAAGTAAAAAAAAGAAAATTTTGTGTGAAAGAGGAATTATCAGAGATAGGATGGATGATAGTTTGGAATAAAAATATAATTATTATATTTTTTTATTTAATTGTATATTATTATAATATATTATATATAAAATAATATAATTTAAATAATTATTATATAATATAAAATATATTATATAATATATATTAAAAATATAATATATTTAATTGTAATATATATTTATATTAAAATATATTTTTATTATATTAATTAATAATAATGAATAATTATTATATAAATTAATTCCGATCACTACGACACCCATATTCAAATTGAATACGCCCGAAAAGGGTTAATTTCGATTTCATTTATGTTTCGTTCAAAAATTCCTTAACACGTTGCTATCCAATCGTTGTATTTCTGAAAACAATTGTCAAATTATAAGTGTACAACAACGTGTTAATTGTATTTTTGAAAATGACATTTGTTTTTTTTCTTTTTTTTTTCTTTTTTTTTTTTTCTAGAAATTATAAATCGTAATCGTTGTTGGTAAATTTGTGTAAATCCAAATTTCGTAGTAGCACTTTCGTATAATCTCCGACGTACGTATAGAGATAGTACCGATCTCTTCTTAAAGTTTAAGCTCTGGCTAAGGCAGCTTAAAACTACGCCAACAGGAATTACCTCTCGAATATCCTGCCGAAAGTTAGAAAGTGACTTTGCTCTTGGGGCTTTCTAACACGAAACAACAGACCACCTTTAGTCGTAGTCGTAGTCGTCGTGATCGATTCCTTTTTTTTTCTCTGATTGGTTATATTTCTTTTTTTTTTTATTCCTTTCATTTTTCATATTAAAAAAGAAATCAAATTATATATATATATATATAATAAATATTCGTATAAATAATTAAAATAATATATATATATAAGTGAAGTATTATATTAAAACCATGAACTTGCATATTTCTAATAATATATAGTAATTAATTAATTAATTATTATCCCTAACGTTATTTTACTTTATAGTAAATGCAATGTTACATTAAAACCACAAACTTAGATATTTTTAATTAAATATATTAATAATTTAATTATTACCCTAACTAATCCTTATTATTATAATTTATAATAAATGCAACATTACATTAAAATCACAAACTTAGATATTTTTAATTAAATATATTAATTATTTAATTATTACCCTAACGTTACTACAATTTATAATATAAATGCAATATTATATGAAAACCATGAACTTAAATATTTCTAATTAAATATATTAAACAATTAATTAATTATTATCCCGAACGTTATTATAATTTATAATAAATACAATATTACATTAAAACTATAAAATTAAATATTTCTAATTAAATATATTAATTAATTAATTAATTATTATCCCTATTGTATCCGACACGTAGTAAAACATATATATATTACGGTCATAGGTATTAACCAAAAGGGTTAAGATTCAAGAAGAACCCTTTCATATGCCAGGTCACGTAGCTTACCCCTTTTGTTTTCTATTGTTTGTCTACTCGCTTTCGTTGCCATTATCGATAACAACAACTATAATAACCAAACGTAAATCTTAACCTAACAACAACTGTTTTTCAAATGGAACGAGATAAAGAATAATATATTTGGTGATAAAAAAGAAAAATTAACAAGAAAAAACAGGTAAACCTTGATGGAAAAAAAAAAAAAAAAAACAAAAAGAAAAAGTATTCTTTTTATAAAAGTATAGTTAGTTTCTTCCTATAGTTTGTGAGGGTTGTACAATTATAACAAGCAGCTGCTGCTACTGCTGCTGCTGCTGTGTAACCAGCACTTGGCTTGCACCCTTCCATGTGGACGGTAAGGGTGGTTGGGATGGATTGTTGGGTTGGGTTTATATACTTTATATATATGAGTACATATGTATAGATGTATTATGTACGTATGTATATACATACTATCCATTGGAAGGACCCATAGAATTAGTACGGGGACTCGCGGGACGTCATTTAAAGTACGGACCTGCCACGATGAGCCCACTCTATATGCAGAGATTCCGTTAAATTGCAAACGGCCATTTTCCAAAGAGGGAGGTTTCAAAGACACGAGAATGGTGTACTACGAGATAGAGAGAGAGAAAGAGAGAGAGAAAGAGAGAGGGAGAGAGGGAGAGGGTTGGTTGAGGTCTTTCTCTTTTCTCCACTACACGTTGGGTTCTGAATGAATTGGCTTCGACAATTAACTCGATTCAGGTGTTCATCCTTTTTTAATTAAAACAATTATTCATTAGAGCGTCGAATGATTATAAATAATTCAAACGGTGACAAAATGTCAAGGGATTTTATGATTTATTACATGTATTTTATTTAATTAATATATATATGTATTAATTTATCTCTTATATTCAATATAATTATATTATATTATATTATATTATATATTAGATATATTTTATATTTATAATATTTAATATGATATAATTTATATTGCGAATAAGTATGGTGTTAATAATTTAATTATAAATTATTTAATAAATCTGCATAAATAAATTCTCATAAATATAATATTTAAAAAACATATATATATATATATTGCGATATGTGTAACGTGACGTATCGTTGTATCGTGATTACGCATAAATGTAAATCGTAAACGAAATCAATATGAAGGAAAAAAGTCTGAGAAATGTTCCGATATGTTGTATATGTGTGTATGTGTGTGTGTGTGTGTATGTCGTGTAAAATTACGATAAGGTTGAAAGCGAGTTCGTGTTATGGCGAAGGGTTCTAGGGATGACGTTAACGAGGATCAAAGTTAAACCAATGGAAAGTAGCGGCAAAGAGGATTTCATCAAGAGAGAGAGAGAGAGAGAGAGAATGAGAGAGAGAGAGAGAGAGAGAGAATGAGAGAGAGAGAGAGAGAGAGAGAATGAGAGAGAGAGAGAGATGAGAGTAATAAGAATTTAAGTAGCACCAGGTAAATCTGTAAAAGCAATACACACATCTACCTTTTCTTTTTCTATTATTATTATTATTATTATTTGCTACCTCGTTCGTTAATTTGACTAATTAGCCAATTTTATTAATTCTAAAACCAAAACTTACTTTCATAAATTGTATAATTAAAAGCCTACGCGTATTAAGTACTTGCATGTCACTTACCAAAGCTTTAACTTAAAATATTAAAGCTACTAATACGCGTAAAAGCTTTTTCTTTTTTGTTTTTTTTTTTTTCACGAATATTAACAGAAAAAGAAAGAAACGAAAGAAACGAAGGAACTTTATATTTGATCTTTGCCGAGAAAATGAGAAAAAGGTTTTTAACGTTGAACACAAAGTTTAGTTCCCGGAATTGATGAGAGGGGAATGGTGCCGATCGAAGGGTTCATTTTATTTTTATTATTATTATTATTATTATCATTCTTATTTTTGTATTTTTATTTTTTTACTTTACTTTCACGACTAAGTGTGGAGGGGCTTCTCGTGTGGGAGGAACGAAAAAAAAAACAAAGTGAGAGAAAGAGAATGTTGAAACGATTTTCGAGGGTAAACGAAGATGAATAGCCGGGAAATTGGCGAAAAGAGGGAAAGAAGAAAGTATCATGCGAGCCCAAACACGAGGAGGGTTGTTTTCTCTATTTCACATGTGTATGTATATATATATACACGTGTGTAATATAATTTCAGTATTTTTTCGATGTTTCCAATGTTTAATTTTACTTTGTACATTACTCTGTTCAATTACTTAATATAAGGTATTTAATATTTCCCTAATTGGAAATAATTTATTTTAATAATAATTTTACTTTTTGTACATTACTCTGTTCAATTACTTAATCTTAGGTATTTAATATTTCCCTAATTGGGAATAATTGATTAATTTTATTTTATTTTAAAAATGGACAGAGAATATTCCCATAAATCTAATATTATAATTACTCCACATATGGAATATATAAATCCAAGAGAATTGTCTATCAATGTTTTCTACGAACCCTACGTTTTGTATCATAAAAGCCTTGTCTGCTTGGGTTTTATGCTAATACAATGTCATGTTATAACGCACCCCCGTTGATATCTTGACACGCATGATGTCTGTACATGATACTGTCTAACGATTGATGCTACTTAGTGATAGAAAACACTCACGCGAATGTAATTTGATTTGCTTATTTTGTTGTTTTTTTCCTTTTCAAGGACGTAGGAAAAATAAAAACCAATTTCTCCTATCAAACTTTATCCATTTCGAAATCTTTTGATATAACCGGTACGAAAATGTGAAATGATTTACATAGCAATAAACTAACGCTTCTCTCACCCACACACACATAGTAGATATATACACACATAGAAAAAAGGCGTTTGATTTATCCGTGCACTTTCGCTGGGCATTGGACTTGTGCCAAGCCGGAAGGTCCATCTAACCGGAAATCACGCTCATAATTCAGTACTCTTCGCGAAAGAGACCATGAAAACGGGTTGGGGGTGGTAGGTTTGTGAGAAAGGTTTGAGGATGGGTTTAAAGGTAGGTTCGAAGAGTCGACTTTCGTTCTTCCTTCYTT